GATAAGGACGTGGAAGATATAGATGTCTTTGAAAATATAATCCAAGCAGCGTATTTGAGAGACGATACTTTATGTCTGAACTTAATCGAATAAACGCACGGTCGGTAAAAAAGCAACCCAAACAAATTCTGAATCACGATCACGTGTACGCGAGTCGCGAGCTTTGCGTTTGGTCGCTCATTTAGGAGATGTTGGCTTCTCCATTCGGTCGAAGACTGGAATCGCGGGCCCGATTAATTTGAACCCGAAACCGGAGGCTGACCTAAAGCAGAGGTACGATTTTAATTGGAATAAGTTCCGCGGAGCGTGCAAAAAAGCCCGGTCGAAGAGGTTCGGTCGACGTTCCATGGCCCGCTTCGGGCAACTCTCCGCGTTGATTCCGGACGACTGGTCCGCGCGTCGTTTCTTGCACCGGCGATTAAAGCGAATCGCGTTGCTGTCGCTTCCTAATTTATTAGGCCGCGTTACCGAAGAGAATCGGGAACGAAGCCGCGATGAATTAAATTCGCAGCCCTGGTCCGGCTTCGAAATTAGATTCGGCCAAGATAAACCTTAGGAGAATTTCGGGGAGGTGAACTCGACAGATTCGGGGTGCGTGTACTCACGATCTGGCTAAATTGAGACATTCGCAATGGCCGGGCGTCGAAAAAAGATCGTATCGATGATTAATGTCGCTCGGCGTTGCGTTACGTGGAGAACCCGCGTTCGGTAGAAAAGCGGCCAATTACACCGCATAACGCTTAATGACCTCGATAAGTGGTGCCGCGAAACGATACGTATTGTGACGGTAGATTATACATGCGGCCACGGTTGGTCCGCTGGTCATGTAATAACTGCAATTTCATCGGGTCTTAATCTTCGTTGGATCGGTTCGAACCGGGGCATCGAAAAATCCGTACTGCTCTAGCTCGAGGCGATATCGTTGACTCTAGCAGGAGCAACACGAACGGACCAAAGGATAGAACGACGAGTCCCGATTCTCACCGAAGCGAAGACTTTTCTCTCCGGTTGAATTAATACCAACGTCGGTGAAAAGCATGCCAGCAGAATAAAAAAAGGAAAAAAAGAGGAGCAAGGTACAGGCGGGGGAAGAACGGTGATCGTTCTTCTCCCGGCAACCTGGACAATAGCAGCGCCGCGAAGTGTAGCGGACAAACAAATAGCCAATTAAAATTCCGGTTGCACGGCGAACATACTTGTATCAGCTGCAGTACTACCAACCATTGTGCACCGGTGGCATGCGCGAGCGAGCCGGTGTCTGGATCGGTTGACTGGACCAAGTACCAGAAGATCGGTTGCTTACGAGCAGCCTTCAAGGACTATCTTACCCGACCACTCGTTTGCACCGTCCAGCAGGATGAATCTTGCCACTCGATGGACATCGTTATCTGCCGGTCGACCCTTTATCACCGGGATGATTCGATCCCGCTGTCGCGTGACAGAGACTACCTCGCTATTTTCCTTGTTGGGATTTCTTTCGATTTCCCACGGTTCGGTCGATCGGCGGTGGTACACGCTTTCGCGAGATAAATAATATTTTTACCAAACAGTATGGCAATCTAATTAGCTCCCGAACGCCGGTCACGCGCTCATTCGTCATAAATTGTTGGCCTTTTTGTTTCCGGTGTATCGAGTACTGGATAAACGTATCGAATCGCGAGGCAGTTGGAAATTACCTATGGACATTGGTCGTTTCGTTAATTGGTAGACGGATTCTGGCAGTAAATCAGGGAGAGCGTTCGTGCACAACCGGTGCGATAACCGATAAGGGGCTGGCCTTTGCGCGATCGTTATTGTTGCTTGACCCGTACGCTCGATAATATCGCGGCAATCATTAATTAAAGCGAAAAATTAATTAGCTAGGAGCGGGTCATTTCGTTTCCACTTGCCGCGCTCGACTATAAATGTCGGACTTTAAATTACATACTTCCACGCCTCCGCCCGTTCTTGAGAAATCGTTTAATCGATAGATACCGATTTCAACCAGTATATTACGAACGATGATAACCACGATTCTATCGTGCGAACGATCGTGGGGATCGTGAATTATCGTCTCGGTGGAGCGTCTCGCGAATTCTGCGTTTTTCAACAATTTCGCGTTGCACAACGAATTGTTGGCGTGACGAGCGAAAAAAATCGCGAAGTGTAGCGGACAAACAAATAGCCAATTAAAATTCCGGTTGCACGGCGAACATACTTGTATCAGCTGCAGTACTACCAACCATTGTGCACCGGTGGCATGCGCGAGCGAGCCGGTGTCTGGATCGGTTGACTGGACCAAGTACCAGAAGATCGGTTGCTTACGAGCAGCCTTCAAGGACTATCTTACCCGACCACTCGTTTGCACCGTCCAGCAGGATGAATCTTGCCACTCGATGGACATCGTTATCTGCCGGTCGACCCTTTATCACCGGGATGATTCGATCCCGCTGTCGCGTGACAGAGACTACCTCGCTATTTTCCTTGTTGGGATTTCTTTCGATTTCCCACGGTTCGGTCGATCGGCGGTGGTACACGCTTTCGCGAGATAAATAATATTTTTACCAAACAGTATGGCAATCTAATTAGCTCCCGAACGCCGGTCACGCGCTCATTCGTCATAAATTGTTGGCCTTTTTGTTTCCGGTGTATCGAGTACTGGATAAACGTATCGAATCGCGAGGCAGTTGGAAATTACCTATGGACATTGGTCGTTTCGTTAATTGGTAGACGGATTCTGGCAGTAAATCAGGGAGAGCGTTCGTGCACAACCGGTGCGATAACCGATAAGGGGCTGGCCTTTGCGCGATCGTTATTGTTGCTTGACCCGTACGCTCGATAATATCGCGGCAATCATTAATTAAAGCGAAAAATTAATTAGCTAGGAGCGGGTCATTTCGTTTCCACTTGCCGCGCTCGACTATAAATGTCGGACTTTAAATTACATACTTCCACGCCTCCGCCCGTTCTTGAGAAATCGTTTAATCGATAGATACCGATTTCAACCAGTATATTACGAACGATGATAACCACGATTCTATCGTGCGAACGATCGTGGGGATCGTGAATTATCGTCTCGGTGGAGCGTCTCGCGAATTCTGCGTTTTTCAACAATTTCGCGTTGCACAACGAATTGTTGGCGTGACGAGCGAAAAAAATGGTTGGCGCCGAGAGATCCATGGCCACGCGGCGAGAACGAACGATTACTAAATTGCAACTCGCCCTTTGATACGATCGCGGGCCCATAATTGCAGGACTATTCATACATTATTGGCTCGTATATTATTTGACGCGATTCAATAACTCTGAACCGGGACGCTCGATGTTATCTCTCCGTCGTTAAGCTGCATTCGCAATATCGATCGTGGTTGATGAATGGCCGCATTTAAGCCAGTCATTTTTCCTGGCGATTATTAACGTTAAAATTGAATGTGTCCGACGTAACGGCAGGATCCTCGCGCGAGGACCACGTACGAAAAGGAAGCTACCACCGGGCCTCGCCAACGAGATTCATCTTCGAATGTGTATTAAGGCCCGACGACGATCGAACTACTGGGAACGCCTCGATTGCCCGTGCAAACAGACGAGTGTAATTTATCGAAGGTAGCCAGGATAAATAACAGAGTTTCGCGTTGGTCTTAGAATTTATCCCAATTGTAAACTACCCGTTTACGCAATCAACGAATTCATGCTGTCTTCGAGACGTTCGTAGAAGGAAAGTTTTTCAATAACGAATGTTTAAGTATAATTGCCTTGGTAAATCCACGAGAATTACCTTTCGGTTCCGAGTACACAAAGTAGCGGTAAAAGATGCATCTAACGTTCGGAGGAGTGATAAATATATCGCGATTACGATTGCTGTTTCTTCAAGAAAATAATTTCACCGGGTACTCCACGGTTTCATGGCGTTTAAGATTGTTGGAAAGTTTTCCGATTCGTGTTTCTCTAATTGCTACGATGTATGCAGTGGTTAGTATCTTTATACCGTATTGGACGTAATCAAGTTTCCGTAAAGTCTCGTTTGAGGTACATTTTAATAAAGTACTCCAAGTTTAAGCATGTACTAAACAGCGATATCGCCGGAGGGAATCTTACGGAATTCATGAAATAAGCTCGTACGCGTAGCACCGTAGAACATCTTCGGCTTAACTTATTAAACGTATGCGTTATATCGTTGTACGCGAGTTAAATCATTTTACGTATAAAGAGTTAAATGCTTTACGTACAATAACTAACATTGATGATTGCATTCTCACATTCCCAAATCTCGGAGGAGCTGAGAGCCTCGGAGCTCTAGGTGTACAGTCGAAGGCAATTCTTTCTCATGAAAAATATGATAGAAGGAAAAGAAGCCAGTCAATTTTTTATGATTTCTTCAGATTTTAATATTTGAGGACAGGTTAAGAATTTAAAGATCTTAGGAATCTGGGTACTTTGGGATTTAAGAAGAAATTTAATTTGAACATTTGTATATTCATAGTCCTTATATAAAAGTAACCTACCTGAGTGTACTGTTACAACAGCACATACGGTTTGGATAATCGTCCACGTCCCATATGGTAAGCAGTTTCTAGCAGCCTTACGCATTATATCAAAGACAAGGTCTCATAGCAGGGAAGGCACAGGTTCCGTTATCGACGCACGAAAATAATGTATTTTACACGCATTGGTCAGCGTGGCGCGTGGGTACCAGCAGAAATATATGAACAATCTGGCGCGATGTACCTGCGCTCCCGCAGAGGCGACTACCTGCGGCTAATTTACAGCGACGCGCGCGGATAACTTCCGTCGTTATTCTTCTGCACAATTTCTCGCGCGTTGTTCCTCCGCTGGTAACAGGGCAGCACCGATTAGCCTGAAATACCTGCTTTCACGATGCGTCGTCGTTCGTTGCGTAGGTCGATCCGGATCCGCATCGTCGCGACCTTCCCTGCCTGACGTCTTCTCGATTGAACGCTAAGGAACAGCGACCACCTTGCCAGCGAGGTGAGCAATTCGATAAAATACGAAAGAAGGTAGCTGCCAGCTCGGAGCCGAGAGACGTCTCTACTTGCACCCAATTAGCGGTCTAACAGGTATGAACGACGCTTAAATTCGTTGATCGAATTGCGACAATGAAATCGAGGAGTTAATGGTGGCGGTTGCAGACGCGGAGGAATGGAGGACGAGGCGAAGAAGAATGACGCCAACGAAACTGAGGAAAGAGATGACTGCGACGAGGTAAATTTTCTGTAACACTTTAGTACATATTTCAGCAAATTACTCATTAAAACTGTTGTTAGACTATTGCTATTCAGTCGAGTGCTCATTCAGGAGCTTATGATTTTACATTCTGATGTAATTTTATTTTAAATCTGTAACAATTACAATTTACAAAATTGCAGAATGGTGACGTTCCTTTCCCAACCACGACAAAGAACGCGTTGATCACGACTCAGCTAGGACCCTGCGACTCCTACCCCCATCGCGTCAAAGTATCGATCATAGGCATAGGGAAGATTGGAATAGCTTGCGCCCTAGCGATCGTAATGAAAGTTAGTGCAAAAGCGAGATCATCATGCTCGATCAACCATTTGATTCCAAACGATCTTTAGAGGTTGGCGAGCGAGGTCTGCCTGATCGACCACGACGCGAACAAGGCTTCCGCCGAGGCCGAGGACATTCAACACGTCGGCGTTTTTTTGGGAAGTCCCCTGGTAACCGGCACGTCAGGTACTCCAACCTTGTGTATCTCAATTGAAGCCGATTTTCAACGTAACTTTCACCGAAACTGCATCTTGGTCATTCGGTCCGAGTATCCGGTTGTTGCGTACAAAATACGTAATTTTGGTCAGTCGATTATTTAAGAGTAATTCTTGGAAAGACGTCTTTACACAAACAGTGGTTTGCATAAATTTTAGTCGATTAATCACAGTATGCTTGTGCAGTTATTTTTATCGTACTAAACTTTTAATTAAAGTGTTGTAAGTGCTGGTTTGCAAGATTTCATAAGTATGAATCACACCTTGAGCGTTTCGTTTATCACGGTCTACTTGTCCTGAAAGAATCAGGCAAAGGCATGCATCATCGAATCAACGTCGTTCTGACTCACGACACGAATTCCAGAAATTTCACCGAAACGAACATCGATCGCGATCGAGGCACGTTTTTGAAAGATTAGCCCGGTCGTTTTGGGTTGTTCAACGAGGGAACTGCTGTCAACGGGCAACGGGTCAGAAACAACGGTCACAGGTCCCGAAATGGGGGAACGAATTTTTGGGTTAGGAGCGAGTTCTGAGATCCGGATCCTTCTGGTCCTGTCCTTTAATCTCGGCCCTAATCTACATCGCCGCGTGCTTACACGCGGCCGCCGAGAGCAAGCGTTTCCTCGAGCTTTTCACGAGCAGGCTCGTAAATTTCATGCCACTCTTATTTATCTCGGCCGTGATCGACTCCACGATACATTTTTTTTTCGGTTTCTCCGGCTTTCTCTCTCGTTCTGTCCTTCTGTCAGCCGTGCACGACCGCCGGACCCGTAAACGTGCTCGCTCGTAAAAAATATACCACCTCGCTCGGGGAATTCGGAAACAAAAGACTGCATGATGCCTTTCGCGATCCTACCCGGGTGAAAACGGTCTCAAAGTTCGCGGTTACTTTGACGCTGTGGTTAGGTTCCAACCATCAAAGTATTTCAGTGACAAATTGTTTACATGATCACACTTTTTGGAGAGTCATATGCAAATACCAATGCATTTGAATATTAATGGTCTTGTTAATAATCTTGTTATAGTACGGCAACTATGAAGTTGTTGAAATGTAGATCGATTTTTAAACTTCGAAATAAATTTAGAGCGATGAATTGACAGCTGTGACAAGATCGGGGTAGTTAAAGGTTTAAGTATTACAATAAATTAAAAGTTGCTAACAGTTAGGTTGGTACAATTTTTAAGTACGGTAATAAATTTAGATCAGCTAGGGGTTTAACTGCAGTAATAAATTCAAGGTAGTTAAAGTTTTAAGTATTGTAACAAGTTTGGTGGTACACAGCTAAGAGTTTTATTGCTATAATATATTTTGAACAGTTAAGTCTTCAGCTACTGTAATTTTTAGTCGTTTTTAATGGGTTTAGATCGTAGCCGCTTTAATAGAGCAATGGATCTTCTGCGTCGTTTTCTTCAAGAAGCTTACCGTGTTCGGCAGTGTATAAGTAATTCACGTTGGTACATCGTAACGTTTCTTCTGTTTAATCTGGTCCCATCCGAGGTAGCAATTACGGGAACAAGTAGAACAGACTCGACTTTTTACCCGCTAATTTATCTCGGAACAGCATCTCTCGCGGCACGAGCGTATCTCGTTCGCGGTTGCATTGCACGTTTACACAAAGCTTTACATAAAGGTGTTAACTAAAATCCTGTACGCTCTCCGCCACCCCTGAAACCAGATTATACCGTGTATTCTTCGCGCGCTTATCGTCGCATCTCACGGAAAAAGAGAATCCCTCGTCCCGAAACAAGGGGAGAAAAGGAGTACTCGATCCTTTTCAGTGTTTTGTATTCCAGCAGCTTCCGATGACTTTATTGCCGAACGAGAAACGCTTCGACGAAAGGTGTTTCCAGAAAGGGATACGTCCGACTCTTAACAATCTTTCTTAAGCATCCCCGTCTTATTTGGGACGTGTTTCGCATCGGCATTCGACGAATGCCCGTCGAACAAATTTACGAGTGTTCTTTTGTCGAACAACCACCGACTTTAATTAAATTCCACGGTGCGTTACGTGCACGACTTACAATGTCGCGATTTTACCCATGTTTTACGGTTCGTGCCGGTAGATTTCAGTATGGTGAAAGAGTCAGCCGTGGTGATAATCACCACGTGTGGAACGGAACCAGGGGAGACGCCCAACGTGAAGCACAATTTGAAGGTATTCAAGAAAATCATACCAGGCGTAGCGAGGTTCGCTTGTAAATCTGTCCTCCTGATCGTCACCCAACCGAACGACGTGATGTCCTACATCGCGTGGAAACTATCTGGATTCCCGTCTAATCGTGTCCTAGGCACCGGGACCATGATCGATTGCGCCAGGTTCCAGGATCTCGTGAGCAGGAGATTAAACGTGGCGCGGAGCTCTGTTAGCTGCATGACGGTTGGCGCGCAAGGAGACATGGCTGGTAATATAACATACTCTCGCTGACTACCGTTACGCGGACACGACGAAGTAGAAAACTTTTCTTACTTGTAACATTGAATTACATGTTGTAATATTTAATGATCAAGTTTTAAGAGATTATTCGAATTGCAGTCCCCATATGGTCAAGCGTCAACGTGGGAGGTATGAAGCTTCGCGACATAAATCAGAGGTTAGGAGAGCAGGACGACCCCGAGAAGTGGTACGAAATCGCAGAGAACGTGAAGGCCATGTAAGTCACCACAAAATCAATTAGGATAAAAAATGGAAGTCAAGTATGCGTATTTCAGTGGGCCGGAGCTCGAACAGAAAAAGGGATCCTGTTGCTGGGGTATCGCTATTTCCACGACTGAGATCGTTGACGCCATCGTGAGGAACACGAAAGTTGTGCTTCCAGCATCGACGCATATACTCGTACGCCTCTTGACACTAAGTTCCTTCTTTTAAACTTTACAGCAATATTTTCACTGTAATTATATTTCTCATCGACTTATCCTCTCGAGAATGTACTGACATTGCAATAACGGGTATAAAGCTTTATAATCACGTTATCCGTAAATGTGAATGTTAATCCGTCGAATCGATAGACTCGAACGTAGAAAACGTTGTTCGCAGAGTTGTGCCCACGGTACAGACAAGGACGTGTACATGTCGGTGCCCTGCGTGCTGGGCAGAGAGGGTGTGTACTGCACCGTGCGACAGAAGCTGACCGAGGAGGAGAAGACAGCGGTGCAGACGTGCGCCGACAAGATTCGAGGCGCGTTGCGAGAATGCGGCATCCTACAAGAGTCGACGGACGACGTCGAGCAGTGAAAGAGAGGAAGAGAAGGGTAGATAAGAGCGAGAAAGAGAATCGTGCTACCGGAAATTGCAACGCAAGACAGAGGGAAAGGAAGCAACGTTTTAGAGGCGTCTTCATCAATAACGAGCTCACGCACCTGGCGACCGGTTTTCCATGCGGGTACTTGCGATCCGCGTAATAAATGACAGCGGCAGCAATTGACTTCCTAGAAAACTATCGCGTCCACCGAGATCGCAAATCATCGGATGTGTACTTTGTGCCGTATTAACACGTTGACTGCCACGTCGTTTATATATGGCCGATGCATAAATTTATACACCGGTACCATTCGTTTCTTTCTCGCTTAATTATAACTAATCTTATCAAGCAATTAAGTGCATGAAGAAGTAACAGTCGTCTTATTTGAATCTTATTCTGTATGGTTTTATAGAGCATTTTCTCAGTGAACAATTCCCAGGAAAAATCGTGAAAGTTATACACGTAATCTATATTTCCGGCATTTGAACGATAAGTAATTCTAGCGTACAAATCCTATAATTTAGTTTATATCGATGTAGCAAAATGGGGAAAGTCTAGTGACGTAATTTGTGGTCAAGCTGTTCCGCAAAGTGTCTGTTACTCGTCTGGCAAGTACAGGAAGGAAATACGGAAGATGTTAGGAATTTAATATTTGTAGCTGAGCCCCTGCCGGGTGTATTGACCCCTCTCGTATGTCGGAGGCAAAAAACTCTTCTCGTGCGACTGGGAGGAAATTGAAATTCGTGCAATACAACGTACTCCAGCTGTGTCGATTCAACAGCTGTTCATCGTTTTCGCCCCTGTGTACCGACCAATATGTTTCAGACTAATCATATCTACATGCTATCGATTTACGAACAGACAACTTCAAGTTCGAAAAATCGACAATCAAAGTCTGACATATTTTGCATGACAGTTCGATCTGATGGAGACGAAATTTTCAGAGTGCTCGAACTTTTAAATATTCTTGCTTTTTATGTTTGTTTCGTTCGAATCGGGAGGAGACACCGTGAATATTGGAGTCGTGGAATTAATTGAAGATGGCTGTACCGAAAAAGAAGTTACTGGACACCAGCTGGAACACCGCGACTTTCTTGCTTACTAAACAACCGGAAGATTACGTGGACGGTCATCGGGTGAAAATCGTTATTGTTGGCAGTGGTTACACGGGAGTCGCAGTGGGAATCGCGATACTCTTCAAGGTTTGACTATCAGTTCACGCTTCTGCTGTGTAACCTCATTAGTCGCAAACTAGAGTTACATGTCAAAGACTCTTCTATGTCTGATAAATATTGTCTAAATATTGTCTGATAACATTGTCTGATAAATCAATAGGCTTGCAATATAAAAATATTGGCCAACAGTTTGTGGAACAGTTTCCATTTTCGTTCGCTAATCGCACCTCTTCATTAAGTAATCTGCACACCCTTTTCTACATAAGGGAAGCGCGCATTATCGATACGTGTAACACAGAAAAATTTCAAAGCACACGTATTTCGCATACGCGTACATTTTTAACGATGCAAACATTTAGCAGAGGAATAAAGTAATCACCGTTAGGCTACGAAGGATATATTCTATGTTCAACAAAGGGAATCCAAGGAATGCCTTGGCCACGTCGTGTACGCTAGGTATTCAGACTCGTGGGGAAGCACGGGTGAATGTAGGCTCGTTAGCGTAGTAGCGGATCAAAAAGGCTATTATGCAAATGATTCACGAAAGACCAGAAGAGGGAATTCGGCTAGGGGAACAGGGCAGAGATCGGAACGTAAAAGGAGGAAGAAATATACAGCGAGGAGGTAGAAGGAACGGTGCTTCCTCTCGCTCGTTATCGGATCGTAACGCGAGCATTTACACGTCGGACGCCCCCGCAAGATCGCCACGGAGCTGATTTATGTTAGTCACCAGAGGAGGAAAGTTGAAATCCATACCCGTCTACGAGGACACCCAACCCTTATCTCGCTTGCTCATCCAAGAACCTGATTTCCTCGTGCGTGCACCTGAGAGAAGCGTAACCTTCGCGGCAGTAATTCGAGCGAAATTGGGAATGCCCCTTTTGTCCGCGGATTCCTCCGCTTTTATGGACGTCTGTCATTACGTCCAGCCGTCTCTTTGTTCCGCGAAACGTTACGCATCGCGTTCCTGTAAACAGTCCAGTTAATCGAATGAGTCAGCCGAATAAGACGAACACAATCGCAAATAATTAGCTCGTGCGTGAACTTGCGAGAACCGACGAAAGAAGGCCGAGTTGCCGGTGCAGTTCGTACGCATTCCAGCAGGACGTAATGATCGTGGGCGACTAATGCCAGGTTTCGGTTTCCCTGAATCGTTGCGAGGACGTGGACTACCATACGGGGCGTAGCTGACTGTTATTAGACTCTTCATGTCGGAAAACCTTGTTGAAACTTGTATTTTAACAGCAACTAATTTGCCTGTCGTCGCTGTTGAAAATATCACCCACTGTTAATTAAGATAAATTTTCAGTAAACGATGCTGGGTACAGTAGGTAGATATACGAGTCATTATTTTTAATGTGGGTACCTGCTCGTAATATTTTATTTATTTCATATTAACGAATGTAGACAATCCGGTTAGAAAATTTGTTATTTTTGATATGCCTGTTGGTTGAGACTTTGGGAATCGCTGATCCGAATGTCGAAAGAAAAGTTTTGGTGGCAAGGATCGAACAAAACCGCAAGGAAGAACAGTTAAGGAGACGGTGGAATGATGCCCCCCAAAGGAGGTGAGAAAGAATAAGAAGAAGAGGTAGTGAACCGTGCGGTTGCTCCGCTCGTCTCAGCTTGGCAGATCGCATCAACGAGATGATCGCAACGAGGTACCAGCGTTCCGGTACCATCTCCACCGGCTCCAGTGTCCACCTTGCGAGCTTACTACGCCCAGGTTCCTCGGTAGTGCTTGCATAAGACGTTCATCTTCTTCTTGTTCTCGTCGTACCCTCGACCCGTTGTAACATGTCATGTCCGTCGAGCAGCATTAAATCGTACAAACCATCTCACTGGTCGCTGACGCTCAGCTTTTCTGCTTCCTGTCCCGAAATCTTGTTTCTCCAACGAGATCACTGGAACCAGAAACTGCATTGATTCATCTATCCAGCGATATCGGTGGACGTTAATTAGAAAACAGCCAGACACCATACACCGGAAGAATAATAAAACGTGTGACGGATCGTGTGTCACACCTTCGGTGTCTTGTGGTTCCGTCAAGCGGAATCGACCAGGTTAACCAAGGGTGAAACGTTGGCTAGGTAACTAGAACCGCATGAGAGACTGCGAGATGTTGCGGAGAAAAAGGTACATGGTTTTGCTCGATCGAATACAAATTACCTGGATCGTGTTGGCTAATGGAAAATGAGCGGTTGCACTTTAGTGTCGTGTTCTAGCCAAGGATGGTTCATGCTAGCTTATATAATTGTAATTGCTTGCTAACTTATATTATTATAATTGATATCGAAATTAAGCAGTGGTAATTAAAGATTTAATGCGTGAATACATCGTGACTTAAAAATCTAACGGGTGTCTCAAAAAAATAGAATACGCAACTAAAGTTTGACCATCAATCCCATTTACATAACAAACGCCGCAATTCGTTTCAGCGGAAACGTCCCAGGTATATTCTTATCCGGTCACGCGTCATTAAAAAATCTCGTTACAAAACACACACGGGGCAGGGTGCTTTGTAAGTTAATTACCGCACAATGTCGTCGCACGATACGCGTGAGTGTTACGAGGGCTGACAGGAGAAAGGAGAAAAAAAATGGAGAGGAGGGCTATAGCTACACGATGAGCCCGCGCGGGGAAACTTCATCAGCTGCGATATTATGCATGCTACGGAAGTCATGCTTGATGAAGTATGGTGATTAAGCGGTGTACAATAACAGATTGGAAGCACAAGGGCGTAACGTAATATATTTAAGAAGCCGTTTCTGTTTGGTAGCCGCGGGTTTGTCTTAACGTGTGAAACCAACATCTGTCAGAGAAAAATGTGTCCATCTGCTCGAGCGTGAGCGAAAGTGAAGTAGCTCGGGCATTTTACCACGAAAAACTCGCCCGTCCAACGGGGATAATCTATTATTCACGGCTCGAATTAGACCGTGATTAAGAGAAACTCGATGGAGCTAAAAACACGATAGGATTGATGTGTCGGTCCGAAAGAATTTTCACTCGAAATTATAAATGTTAAACGATAAAGTGGCATCGATTATTCGAACAGAGAGAAATCTTGACAAACCGCTTGGAGGAAAGAGGCTTCGGGTTCGATCAATTATTGCGGTATATCCTTTCGATGTTGAAAATCATGGCGCCGCTTTCTTTCGACGAACAATGAGCGCAACGAGGACATTGATGCAACTTCAAGAGAAAGTTACGGGAAAACATCTGTACGATGCGGAGTCTGGATGTTAAAAGTCAAAGCGATGAAGTCCTGTGGTTTAGCGGTGACTGTAATTCAAGATCCCTGTATTTTCGAACTTCTACATCTACAGATCGCTGTATCTGTGTCTCCAAACCTCGGAGTATCTAACTCCAGAAATACCTTTCGAAATTCTTTGCACTTTGATATTTCTACATCCCTTGCTTCCCATACTCCTAAACCTCTATGCCTGTATATGCATAATTAGCAGAATACTTGCCGAACACCAAATTAGTATGAGCGTCTATTGAAGATTAAAAATGCAAATTCTCGTTGCACCAGGTTCGTAAAGCTAGCAAGGAGAGAGTCACGATCGAGAAGGATAAAATGGGCCGCTCTCGAACCGCTTCGTCCCGCTCGAACGGAGGCGATCAAACCCTAACGATCCTTCGCATTAAGGGATCGCTCAAATGGCGCGATCGATCGCGCGGGTGCTCTTAATGCGATTCCATGGGGTCCTGATTGCATAACGATTCCGAGCGCGTAATAACTCCGAGCTAGCGACCGGTTCCTGTTAATTACTCTTCATAATCTCTGTTTCTGTTGCTCGTGCTACGGTTCTTTGCAGCGGTTGGCCTCTGAGCTGGTGTTCATAGACGCGAACGAGGATCTGGCCAAGGCGGAGGCGGAAGATATTAGTCATGCGGCAACGTTTCTAGGCAATCCGAAGATCATTGGCACCAAAGGTGAAAAGAAACTCTGACCTCTGATCCGTTTGCTCCGTTCAGCCAGAGCACGATCCTTTGCAGATTACTCGTTGGCCAGAGACGCTACGGTCTGCGTGATTACCGTGGGTGACAAGTCGACGAACGAGCAGGATGACAATACTTTGCTGGAACAGAATTTGAATATCTTCAAGGAGGTTATACCTAATGTCTGCAAATATGCACCGAACAGCGTACTCTTAGTCGTGACATCGCCAGGTGCGTACATTTCTTATTCCTTTGTGGATGAAACTTACCGATATGTCATAAGTATATGAACATCTGTGACCTAATTATAATGACGCGTTTAATATATAAGTGCACATGCTTTTATTAATACACGTGTTTAACCATCGATGTATTCTTGATTCACATCTAATTTATTTTTTATAAGTAAAAAAGGAATAACACCTTCCAATACGATATCGAATTACGTTTCAGTGAATATACTGTCGTTCGCAGCCATGAAACTGTCCGGTTTCCCACCGCATCGCGTGGTAGGTCTCGGAACATTCTTAGACAGCTGCAGGTTTCAATACTTCATTGCACAGAAGCTTGGAATTTCGGCGAAAGCGGTGCAGGCGTCTATAATCTGTGAAAACGGACCCACATCGGGTGAGCATCAAAAAACATTCCCCTTGTCGCGTGTCTGAAATGCGAACGTTCAAAGATAAATCGAATATCGATCGAGCAGTACCTATCTGGTCCGCCGTAACCGTAATGGGCATCAAACTGAAAGACATCAATAAGAATATCGGTACCAAGACGGATCCTGAAGCGTGGAGTGAGTTGCACTCGAAAGTAATCGACAGCGACAGCGATCTTATCGCGAGAAAGGGTTATCGATGCTGGGGAATTGGCGTCTGTGCTGCCGAAGTTGTGGACGCCATCGTACGGAACACCTGCATTTGCATCACCGTATCTACCTACCTAAAGGTACCCTAAATGAATACTGCAGTCTCATGTCTGACAAGGGCAAATTTGCTATGTTAATTGTTTGTAATTAATTTTGTGATTTAATGTTTGGATGCTGAAGTAGCGACTCGATAGCTCTCTACCACATATCGGCGCTTTGCGATCTAAACCGTGACGGTATCGAAGCGTGGCAATAAAGTGCATGGTGATACGATATGTGGTACCATGCGCTGAAGTTTAATGCGTAGCAGTATCTGCACTTGATAGTACCAAAGTGTTGTGATACCACGCGGCGAAATTTAACTCGTAACGATACCTTGCGTTGAGATACCAACGCGTGGCGATACCTTGCGCAGAGATACCAACGCGTGGCGATACCGCGCGCCAAAATTTGACGCGTAGCGATTCTACGCGCTGTAATTCAACGCACAGTAGTGCTATGATCGATAATACCAAAGCATGGCGATACCACGCGCCGAAATTTAACTCGTAACAATACCTTGCGCTGAGATACCAACGCGTGGCGATACCTTGCGCAGATATACCACCGCGTGGTGATACCACGCGCCAAAATTTGACGCGTAGCGATACTACGCGCTGTAACTCAACGCACAGTAGTACATAGTAGTACTATGATCGATAATACCAAAGCGTGATGATACCACGCGCCCAAATGTTGACGCGTAGCAATACCTTGCGTTGAGATACCAACGCGTGGCGATACCTTGCGCAGAGATACCAACGCGTGGCGATACCGCGCGCCAAAATTTGACGCGTAGCGATACTACGCGCTGTAATTCAACGCGCAGTAGTACTACGATTGATAATACCAAAGCGTGGCGATACCACGCGCTGAGATACCAACGCGTGGCGATACCTCGCGCCCAAATTTTGACGCGTAGCAATACCTTGCGTTGAGATACCAACGCGTGGCGATACCTTGCACCGAGATACCAACGCGTGGCGATACCACGCGCCAAAATTTGACGCGTAGCGATACTACGCGCCGTAACTCAACGCACAGTAGTACCATAATTGATAATACCAAAGCGTGGCGATACCACGCGCCGAAATTTAACACATAGGAATACTACGCTCTGAGATACCAACGCGTAGCGATACCTCGCGCTCAAATTTTGACGCGTAGCGCCGCAACATAGCCCCGAAATCGGTGAATTATCAAACACCCACTCCCCCCATTTCCTCGCACCCATCTACAAATCAAACCTTACCAATTTACAGGGTTGTCGACACGGTCTAGACAAAGACGTCTACATGTCCTTGCCCTGCATAGTTGGCAGAGACGGAGTACAGACCTTCCTGCGTTATCCATACACTCCAGAAGAACAGGAACAGACAGAAGCATCGTGTCGAACGATCTACGAGACTCAAAAGACGATCCTCCAAACGCTGGAATAAGTATGACGATCTTGATAAGGGCTTCTCGCAAATTTTGTCAACTTTGTGATGTCCGCTGAAAGATCCGAGGGTCGCGAGGCTAGCTTGTACTTCATCGCGCGAAAGCGAGAATAAACACGCCGAGATGGCAAATAAAAAGTGACTCGAGGATGATATCGCGAATCGTTTTATGTGCTTGTTTGCATCAGTTAAGAAGGATTCCGGTATGGCAGGGATAACATTTCCTTTGGAGGGAGGAGCGTTGTGGCGAGGACACGATTAACCCTTTGCACTCGTACGTCTTCAGAAGTTATTCTTGGTTGATAAATAAGTGAATATTTCGGTGACTATCTTGAGCATCACTAGAAAATTAGTACGGTTGTAAAGTAAAATTATTATGAATGCAAAGAGTTAAGTGTCACGTATAATCTTTGATACGAATCAATCTTTGGATCAAGGATTTCGGCCAGTTTGTCGAGATTAATGTATACCAACGATAATTAATATTGTACGAAAGCGGTTAACCACCCAGACAACAGGGATGATAAAACGATCGCATTTACAAACATAAAGAAGAGCAATTTCGGGGCCGTGGTGGTCAACGATACAGCAATTTGTTACAAAATTTACTCGGTTCTTTGTCTCTGTCAGCCTTTAAATTAGTCAACGTTCTCACTCGAGAGCTACTGTCAGTGTTAGAAACATCCTCGATAACGCGTCTCAAATCGATCGTACGAAAAGAGAAATTGTAGGTAGCACGTATTCGTGTTTGTTCGCGTTGTTTTTCGAGCAACGATTGAAAATTACGAATGGAGAGTCTCATCGAAGCCGAGCAACGTACCGAAGCGCGGCGAAGAGAATGCTCGAAAGAGAAAGAGGCAAGGTGGCAAGCTGGTACCTGCTGCTTTTAATGGCTCCACCTCGTCCCTCTTATTCTCTTTCTCGATTCGTATTCGAAACGAGCCAGGGCCGTAGCAGGAGGGGCCTTCCCTGTCCTCGTGGTTGTCGCGACCTACCAGCGAATTCCTCGTGGTACTCGCGACAGGAGCACGACGAGGCAACGGTGATTCATTATCCATGCTAACGAATGTGCGTTACGAGAGGAGAGAAAAGAGAAAGAACGAGAAGGGGGTTTCCTGCGGCTGGAAGCCACACCAATAACGACGGGGGAGCACGACAACGTCTTCATCCGCGAGGAGGCAGCGGCTTCTTCTCCGGCGAAGCCATTTTTCTGTATTATCTCGATGACGCGTCCCGAGTACATAATTTATACCGAGCCAAGCGATTATGGATCTAATGACATAATTCCATCCGTCGACATTCAGTCTTGTCGTAAAGCGTCCCCGTCCGCATTTGACTTTCAAAAGTGCATCCGAAATTAAAACGTCACTCATCGCCGGTTCTTACGTTCACTCTTACTTTTTTCTTGCCTCTTTTCGCCGAGTCCCGTCTCCTTCATCGATAACGACAAAAAGCATCCACGGCTAAATTGATATTACCACCGTGCTTGCTCGCTTTCATCCACATCATCGAGCTTAAGGAGGATATTCGGCCACGCGAAGAAAATTCATATTCCGATACGAGGGGAGGAAGAAAGAGAAGACGTTGAAAACATCGGTCACTTGCGAGACACCGCGGTAGGTATTACTAATTATCTTGCTTTTTATTCCGCCCGATTTAATGGTCGAGCTGCTTCGAGAGGCACGTACGCGTGTAGGAGGATCATTCGAACATCATCGTCGGAATTAATAGCAATGACGAACGGCACATTTAATACGAATTAAATATTCAAATTATTCTTAGAGGTATACATGTGTACATATTTTATAGTATGCATCTCGATGCAGGTTACTCATGACCCCGTAGTAGTCGCATTAAAAAGACTTCTTCCCAGGTGCAATATCGAAACACTTCTACAACTTCGATACGCGTGCAGCAGGAGATCCCGAAGCACTTCGGATACCGTCGTAAACTTGTTGCGATACAGCAGGGGGGCGAGAGGACCAGGTCAGCTCTTGATTGAGTTACGATTTAATTAGTCCGCGTGGCCAATCAGTAATTAAGATATCCGCTAATCAACGGATCCTCTTCTCCACCCCTTCGATCCTTTCTGGACTTGTATTAGCAGACCTGCTCCCCTTCCGTCCTAAGGATTCTCTATCTTCCTTCGTTGTTCCTCCTTCCTGCTTCCAGGTACAGTGCCAGTGAATCAATTGACCACGATTGGGCAGCCCCCAGGATTCTAATGATTAATCCCCGAAAAAGAAGGAAACGGCTCGAGGGAACACAAAAAGTCGATAGCCACAGACTCGTTATGCATACCGGCTTTCGGACACGATTTATTCTATGCTCTGTTTTCTTCGATTATAAATTAAATGCAGCCTGTGGAATTAAATGGAAAGAAGCTGTAAATTGTAGTTTGGTATATGAGAGGATTTTCTCTTTCGCAGTAAACGAAAATATTTCGGTTTTACGGTGTAAGATATGATCAAATTGTTATCGACATAAATGCGAGACTTCTGTTTCGAAATAGATGTCACTTTCAGTGGAGCAGAACGCTGTTCCAGCCGGCCCCAAGTAGAAATCACGACGAGATTAATCACCTGTTCGGACCGTTGCTATAAGTCTCGGTACACTTGTTACCCCATTAAATCAAATATATGGTACCAGACCCCATGGAAAGATGCTCGTAATTCATAATAACTACGGTAGTTATGCGTCTTGCTTGGGCGGTCTGTGACAAATATTCTAAGCAAGTATTTAGTACGTTGAACAACATCTCTCGAGCGTGTTGATTAAACAAGTCCCTATGAGAGTAATTACAATTATAAAAATTAGACATATTAGTTTTGTTGACGGATATATTAGCACCTCGACTGTCATATCTGTCGATCCAATTACGAGTTATCTTGTGTACTTGAAAGTGTAGATAATCGCAATAATTAAATACCTCTAAAATTAGTAGATTAGATTCTGTGAAAACAAACTATTGACATTAAAACTTAATAAGAAAGAAATATTTTATTATTTTCTTTGTTCATATTTCTTATGACGTAAATGTTTTATAAAGGTCAAAAAGTCCAGGAAAAAAATGTGGACGATCGCGGCATCTGTTGGATGAGTCAAGAACCCTACTGCAGTGAATGACCCACAGAAACTATCGTTCAAGCTTTCAAGTCGACACTTGTTAAAAGTCCACCGATTTTATCGAAAGCAACGGATTCCGGAAGCGTAGGTAACCGGTTAGCGATAGCTAAGATCGATTTCTTTTCTCGAACTCCAAAGTTCTGAGCGTTTGAACAGGAAAGGTGATACGAATTCGGTCAACACGATTTTCTTAGCGAGATTAAGCTCCGTATCGGTCCGGTGCGTGAGATAGCGTTGATTGTAATTAATAGCCGGGTATTGCGTTAGCTCTGCAGCTGGTTAATTGTCGAGAGAAGATTAATGGCGCGAAATCACGCCAATACCGGACCGATTGTCCAAAAGCAACTCGTGTTTTGGCCGTGGCCAACTGCAAAACTCGTTTCTCGTTACATTTGTTCGAACGATAAAGCGAAACAGAGCTCGCCCGCGGAAAATTATTCGCGACTGGATCCAGACACAATAAACATACATATATTTTTATCGGACCCCACCCTTATCGGTGGAATTAATTAAGATTTATTAGAAAAAATCTGGTATCGTATCGATTCGTTAAATAGTTCACACCTGTTGAGTCTAACGTGGATCGACTTAAGAATTATGTCCTGTCATCTTTGAATTAGTTGTTAAAAAAGAAGGAGCAGGTTTCGAGGACTGAAGCCTTCTTAGGCTAAAATATACGTGCTCCTGATGCTCTAAAATTTTAATTCTTTTCTACGAAGAAAATATATGTGTTCTAAGAGAGTACACTGCTTCAAATAGAATTATACCCATAAGAAATTTAAAAAATTCCTTTTTAATCTTACGTACATAATTTTATGTAATTATTAATCAACGCAAGGATCTCATTAATTCCTAATATCCTTTAATTACTATGCAAGTTCTGAGTGTTCAGACTTGACCTCGAGAACCTCGTGTACGATTGACAGATTCGAATCATATAATTTAAAATTAATTTCGGATTCAACCAGGAAGTAAAGTGTATATTAACTATCGCTATTTCATACATTAGCAATTTCGCGGTAGCCAAGTTAATCACCGCAGGTTTGTGCGATCGTATATTCCCTTGGCAAGTATCTACAAAAATCTCGAGACTAATCGAGTGTCTATAGATACATGTTCGTGAAGGTAATTACCTCGGTAATGATGCATCGTACGGAATACTGTAACCTTTAATACTACACGTGACCATTGCAATCGAATTTGTAGAAAAAAAGGGTGAAATTCCAAATTCCAGTGATAATTGCAACACGCCAAGTGCAAGTGATTCGATACTTGACCCTTGATATCGAGGTAAAAAGTGTTGCTTTAAACCTTGCACAATCTATCACCATTTCGGATAATAGTGAAAGAGCTGGTGTCACGGATAACAGTCGGGTCGGGAGGTTAAACAAGATAGCGCGGTAAATTTATCATTAATTAGGATGATGCATCGTTGAACCGATTACTCCTGATTAATAGCGGACACGATTTTATTGTTTCTTTAATGATGTTTTAATTGTTCGATTGTCTGCTGTATCAACTCCGTGCAGCGTTAATGTCAACAAGGAGAGTTCAATGATGCGTATACAATACTCATAATTTATCTGTACTGGTCGTATCAAAATAAATAAAACAGGTAAAAAGGATAGAAATAATAGCTATTAATTTTTTGTAGTTATAACAGTCATTGTTTGTAGACATTTAATTAATTTAATTAATTTAATTAACTTGTAAATATTTTTCGTTTAATCTTGTTTTCAAACGAGTCTGCTTTCTCGGCGTTTATGTAATGTCCAAAATAATTTTATCTAGCGAACGTGTATCTGATTAACATCAAGTTTCAATTAAGTTACACACGCCAAGTACGTGTCTATCATTTATTAGTGAATGCTTACTCATAATCACTCTCGATCTAATTTTATACCTTATCAAATGCTTATATCAACAGAACAAAGAGACTGATTCATGTTGGGACCTAATGAATTCAATAACCTCTAACCATATAATAATCGGAACTCTGTAGCATAAGCGCACCGTCCGCTCGGTGCTTTTTCACAATTA